GCATTGCGCACCGAAGAGTGCTGCCCGTTGTGTAAGGATTACTGCTACTTTAAATGTATTTGTGCCACTTGCTGTTGTTATTTCTCGTTGAAAATAAACATCCTCAGGTTTATAGCTTATCCGATCAGTAAAGTTTAGTAATGTAATGATAGTTTTAACAATAGTTATTTTACACTATCTAGACTGATCTGTAAAGCCACCTAATATTTCACTTTTAAGATTTTATAGATTTATATCTATTTCACTTTATTCGATGCTTAATTTGCTGTCTTTCTGTGTCAGTTAACATTATCTGGAAAAAATTCAAAAAAATACAAACAACGTTTTGGAATTAGGTATAATGTCACACGTTAAAAAACAGCTGAAGGAGATCTTGTCGGTTAGAAAGAACGAGTCCAACAATCTTTATTCTCTATACAGTGATCTTCTATGGCTCTTTGGCTTTGTGCCTGTGATCTTTGACCAGATCCCTTGGTAATCGATCGGCGCTGTGAAAATGCAATTACAGCTCTCACTACGCCCAAGACACCAAATATGAACTTGCATGCGTGTGGGTCCTTGCAGCAAGAAACCTCGGCTTGAGGTAATCACATTAATGGCAGACCTCATGGAATTCAAATGCTCTTGCGCAATACTTTACTTTCTATATTGTTTGCCAGATGTGGACAGAAAATAATAATTGCTTTTCGAGTTGGCGTAGATTGGAATAAAAAACAAGTTCAATTCATAGCTGCCCACTTGCAGAACAGCTTGTATCGATAAGAATATTTTCGTTTTTCTTCTCTACCATTTACTGCACGTTATCATTCTACATTTTTCATCTATTTGAGACCTCAAACATTGCCATATATTTAACTTTTTTCTTAAACGTTTCAAAAAGTGCTGAAACTTCTGGTATGAATTTCTTAATTATGTTGAAAGATTCTAAAAATTGTTCCTAGTTTCTATTTATTTATTTATTTTTTAAACTGTAATTGTACAATAATACAATAATTGTGCTGATGAAAGAGGAATCCTTTTTTAGAGGATCTATTCTTCAAAATTCATTCAATACCTTCATTCTTCACGTGGATTTTAAGAATGTGATGTTTTCCATTTTATTGTTGGTGAATAAACCTTAGAACTGACAAACCTTGATAATACATGTCTCGAAAAGAGAATATTTCAATCTCGAAAAGAGAATATTTTAATCTCAAAAAGAGAATATTTCAGTCTCGAAAAGAGAATATTTCAATCTCAAGAAGAGAATATTTCAATCTCGAAAAGAGAATATTTCAATCTCGAAAAGAGAATATTTCAATCTCGAAAAGAGAATATTTCAATCTCAAAAAGAGAATATTTCAGTCTCGAAAAGAGAATATTTCAATCTCGAAAAGAGAATATTTCAATCTCGAAAAGAGAATATTTCAGTCTCGAAAAGAGAATATTTCAATCTGAAAAAGAGAATATTTCAATCTCGAAAAGAGAATATTTCAATCTCGAAAAGAGAATATTTCAATCTCGAAAAGAGAATATTTCAGTCTCGAAAAGAGAATATTTCAATCTGAAAAAGAGAATATTTCAATCTCGAAAAGAGAATATTTCAATCTCGAAAAGAGAATATTTCAATCTGAAAAAGAGAATATTTCAATCTCGAAAAGAGAATATTTCAATCTGAAAAAGAGAATATTTTAATCTCGAAAAGAGAATATTTCAATCTCGAAAAGAAAATATTTCAATCTGAAAAAGAGAATATTTCAGTCTCGAAAAGAGAATATTTCAATCTCGAAAAGAGAATATTTCAGTCTCGAAAAGAGAATATTTCAGTCTCGAAAAGAGAATATTTCAATCTCGAAAAGAGAATATTTCAATCTCGAAAAGAGAATATTTCAATCTCAAAAAGAGAATATTTCAATCTCAAAAAAAGAATATTTCAGTCTCGAAAAGAGAATATTTCAGTCTCGAAAAGAGAATATTTCAATCTCGAAAAGAGAATATTTCAATCTCGAAAAGAGAATATTTCAATCTCAGAAAGAGAATATTTCAATCTCAAAAAAAGAATATTTCAATCTCGAAAAGAGAATATTTCAATCTCGAAAAGAGAATATTTTAGTCTCGAAAAGAGAATATTTGAATCTCGAAAAGAGAATATTTTAATCTCAAAAAGAGAATATTTCATTGATATCTTTAACGGACATCTTTGATACCTTTACTACTTTCCCTATTTGGAGGGGCGAATCTAGATAATATCACGATAACACCTGTGACGTTGTTATAAGAACAAAGATAATCAAGATGAGAATCTTTACGTAATCTTAATGAAATTCTGAGTTAATGATGTTTATTTTTTTAGGGCTTTTTTAGTCGTGAAAATTGCATTTGCTTTTTGAACCTAGATACGTGGGCAAGATCTACTCAATCTAAATTTTGTGAATGATGGGTTTGTAATTCGTCTAAATCGTATAAAAATATATAGGGAGGGGTGATAATATTTCAAGAAGGCACTTCATTTTTCTAATGTTTGATAAAGATATGGAAAAGGGGAAACCTGTTGCAATAAAAGTTTTTAAGAACCAAATGCTGATTTTGTAATAGAAAATTTGTTGAAGACAAAATAGAATCTTGCATTCATAAGTGGCTACACAATTACTTCAACATTGCAAATATTCTAAGCTCGTGACACCAAAATGTAGACAACTAAAATGCCAACATGGTTTGGAAGTGAAATGAAAGCGAAAAAAAACCCAGTAGGAAACGGGCTGTTTTTTAAAGGGTTCTAAGAAGTATAAACAAAATCGTGTAAGCTTTTGCAATATTGCTTATTTAAATACTGCAAGCGGACTGTTATTTCAAGGCCTTGAGAGTTCTCAGGGAAGTCCTGAAGTTAATTTGATAGCAATCCGTGCCCGCCTCGTAGTTTCTACGGCGTGTGACTGTCTACCTTTTTTGCATAACAAATTGTAGTAGCCTCTAGGAATCACACTTATTTCATCTAATTTTGAAACTCTGTTTTCAACTTATAAATAACGCATACTATATGACCTAGATTTGCCACTAGCCTGTTCAGTGTATCAACATTCATTAAAATAAATAGATATTTGTTTCCTTTGTTGATGATGTTTATTAAACTGTTGATATATTCAAATCTTAATAAACTAGAGGGTGGCTTTTTTAAGCTACCATGAAAGGGATCAATCTCCCATACCCTCTGGCGATCAATGAAATTAGTTGATGTTATTAAATAAAGCATCCTTCCAAAAAGGGCAGTGCTTGCAGTTGAAATGTATGCAAAGATTTCACTGGAACTGAAAAGTTTTATTCACTGGAAATGAAAAGTTTTTTTAGTGACTGTCATGAGATATCACTCGATTTTGAAAACATGTCCTGTTCTTTATGACTTGACTTTCCTAATACAAATAGAAAGATTTTTGTCAAATAAATTGCTTTCAGGAGCGGCTAAATTTACCAATGTTCTTCTAATGACAAAAAATTTAGTGCCTAATTTTGAGTCACAAAGCATGTTATCAGAATAAAAAGAATATTCTAGAACAAAAACGTGACATCAAACAAGGTTCAAAGTTAGGGGTTTTAGATTTGAATTCATGTAGAAATTCAAAAATAGTTCATTGAGCCCTATCTTGGTGCTTGGGAAAGTTTCTACAGAATGCCACTTTATTATGGAAAGCTTAGTTGCTATGGTAAGCCAAGTTGTTGTTGTTTTTGATGGCACTGATTTTGAATCAAGTATGAGAAGGAAAAACGCTGACCAAAATATACTTTATCGACCGATAAACAGTCGAGAAGCACCTATCATAAGATTCTAATTGCACAACGGTGAATCCCTTTGACTGAATAAAGATGGTAGAAGAATTTGGAAGAAAGCTCTGGAGGGAAATTTTTTCACACTTAGTTTTACAATTTCTTTACTCCTTCAATTTAACATCTTTTACCTAAGTTTACACTCACTAAATAACTGCAATATTTCTTAGTCCCATCTTCTTAATACACGATTACAGCTGTGTTTTTAGAAATCTTAATCCGACCCAATGCAGGTGCAGCGTTAATTAATGCATAGCGTGCTTTTCATCATCATCATTATATGCATAATCAACATCATGATCATTGCCATATCGTCATCATTGTCATTACAGGGTGATCTATCTAGTCGTTTTCAATTGAGACGTTTACATATGTCTCATTTGCAATTCATTGGGCAATCTGGTAACACCTTTGTTATTTTAATAGCAAATAAAATCTCTGTTCTGTTTTCAGTTCTTATTGCTTTCAGTCTGCCAATTCATGAAATCGATCTAAAAAGTGGATAGAGTGTAATTTTCAATTAAGCCGATATCAAGCTTAATGTACTGTCACAAAAGGGATATAGAACTTTGATTTCCTCTTTCATTAGATAGCTCCCTGTATTTTCAGCATTTTACCTATGACTTCAGTTTTCTTAACTTTCTCTTTAAGTAACTTGTGTTTAGATGTTAGAAAATGGGCCTCACAAGCAGACTTCAAACATGCAAATACAAGAACATGTGCTCCAGGACTCTTGCTCTTCTCAACGTGAATATTACCCTGCAATTTTCACCGCCAAGCTGCCCCAAAGGATAAAACAGTGCAGTTGATAAATTTGAAAGCACATTATTTATGTTACTGAATCGTCTTTGCATATTACGGATCAAATAGAATGACCAGCCTCGTTTTAAATCTAGACCTATCTAATATACTTCTAAGGTTTTCTTGTTAAGAAGGAAGTCGATATCTCCTTGACTCAACTCTTATAACAATGGAACATGCTTGAACGGAACTGTAGCCCTGTTGCACGTAGAACCAAGAAGAAATTGATTAAATTCAGAAATCGTCTAGAGATCACAGGTCTCTCTTTGACTATTGTTCTTCGATTCTTAATTGCTTTGTTAGCGTAAACAGAGCGTGTTTGCTGATTGGTCGAATTATTCGCAGGTGGTTAAACAGCACATCAGCTGCCGTATGTAATTATAATAAACACCGAACCGAAGATTTTGCTTGCTTATAACTGGACACTCTCATTGCGAACAGCTCATCGATGTATGGCTGTTGGCGAACAGCAGGGATTGATTTCGGGCTAGTACATTGTTCTTAAGTTCTATTTCCCCGTAAGAAAAATAGCACTCGATACATTGTTGTCCCGATAGAAGCTCTTCCTTTTTTCTCCGGTGATTGAGAAAATATCAGAGTTACGGTATGTCGTCGTCAGTTTGTCCTCGTTCCATTGTACAGCAACCGGCGCCCAAGGAACCCGCTGCGGATTGTGCGCTCGGCAAGAAGATCAGGAAAATAGACAATGAAGAAATGGCTAAAGGCATAATGCAAAGTGGTAATCCTCCTACTGGACTCGAATCAACGGGTCCACTACCAAATGAGATTTTCGAGCTGTTAAACGAATTCTGGAGACCTAGTGATGTGATGCCTCCAGATCAGCATATGCTGAACGGCAAGCGGCGGAACGTTGATAGTCCGGGCGGTGAAGACCAGGCTGAAGACGATAAAGGTATTAGAGTCTGTCTTTTTCAGATCTTTCTTTTCTACGTTGCTTCTTTTCGCGCTTTCTTCTTCAATTTACATCATGAAATCTGAAGGCTGAGTAAAACGTTTTTCGTTCTTGCATTTGTTGTACAAAGAGGACAAGTAACTGAACACAGGTCACATAGACCCATAAAGGGAGAAGAAAAATCTTTCTTCGTTCTTGCACATCTCAGTTTATTTTTAGACATATTATGAAGTTCTTGTTAAGAGAAAACAACTTTTGCTTTACATGTCAATTTTTTCTTCAAATTTACCTTCAATTTTTGTAATTTATCAAAAGATCTTTTTTATTTTGAATTCGTTTTAAGAACCAAAGTAGAATAATACTGATATCTTTTGAGAAATGAAATTATCTCGTACATGTCCATATTAAAATTAATTATTCCAGCTACAAAATTAGTACATGGGCCAAAGGTATTCTTTGAAAGACGCACCGTTTGTCACCCTTGACCACTTACCTACTGCTTCCTAGCCGGCATTCCCTTTTCAATTATGAATGGCTGTAATCGTATGGAAGAAAATTTTTCTACCCAATTGTAAAACAGAAGACAATAAAGGTCCAAAATTCAGTGTATCTAGCCTGCTCAGTATGTTGCTTCTTTTGCCTCTTTATTATCCAACTCTTGTCTCTTCTTGAGGGGGTATGGCCATGCGTCTGCGTCAGAGTTGGCTGTAGGACATTAAGAGACAATATTTTACGCAGCCTATATATGTCTGTAATCAAAAGAAAGCAACGGCATGTAGGTAAGAGGTATTAACATAGATACATTAAGACCTATTTCACAACCATCGTGACGGTTTTAGTTTTTGACAAGATACCTCAGGCAAACATAAAAAATAAGCCTGTACAATTTTTTTAAATGGCTCTCGATTAGAAAAGAGAAAGAATTACGGTGAGATGGCCCCTGTGATTATTTGCTTCATGTATCTTGAAGCTGGAGCAATGAAGCCAAAGAAGTCTAGAATCTTCCATTAAGTATTGACTGACAGATTGCTTAGTGGTACTTCAATTTCTTCTTCTATTATCACCGACTTCGAGATTTATGCCTTGAAGTTTTAATCATGTAGCTTTTAAAAAAGGTATTGTAAAACGCATCAGAATTCATGCCAAAACATTGAAAAATTCAGAAATAGCTCAAAAATGAAGAAGAGGAGCCATTATATCAAAACAAATAGTTATCTGTTGTTCTCTTACTTAAGAGACATTTACTATTTGTAAATTGTTGCAGGGAAACCGTTGATTTCGCGAAGAAAATAAAAAAAATTGCTTCTAGACATGGTTTTCTCTTTACAAAGATACCTTTGATAGGATTGGATATGGTTCTAAATTGTTTATTCCTTGTCATCAAGTAGTCACTGACGAAGTAACTAACAGGCTGTTCATATACTATAGTTTAAAGCATGTAATCACCATATAACCACATCATCTGTTGTATGTCTGTCGTAATTCCGCCTGCTGTTGAAGCCGGCTTTGAAATCCGAGCCCATTTACTCAGTGAATAAATTAAGTAAGAACCGCTTCATGGATGTGTGTGATTGATTTCCTTCATGTTTTAACTTTTAATGAGAAATTAATTACGATGGAAGTGCAAAAAGTTATATTGTAATGGAGTTGAGATGTTGCAAAGCGAGCATAATATTGATTCTGAAATGGAGCTAGCAAATAGAATATTCACCTTTTAGGATCATTATTTAAGATTAATTCTACCATTTGTTTTACTGTAAGGTAGATTTTAACACTAGCTTTTCTCAATGTTCTACTGCGGCAAACCATCGCACCTTTCAATGCGGCATGAGATTGAATTGGAACCACGCTAAAACAACCTGCTACATGATACACTGTAAAGCTCTCAAGCAGCTATTAGAGTCTTTAATAGAATAAAGCACCTCTTCCTTATATTACAATTAAGTTCATTGTTTATACAGAAACATTGTTTTCCACAACCAAATCCTTCTCTCTTGATGGGGTAGGATATTTGGTTAACTGTTTTGCTTTTTGCCTTTCTACTGGAATGAAATATTTATTTTAAAACATTTGTGTCAAAAGTGAATCTACATTGAAGAGAAAGCAAGACATGAATACTCATAAATTTGCATAAATATATTATGCAGCATATTGACAAAGCTTTTTGCCATGCTTGTCATGCATATGCTAATATTAATGAGTTCACAGCACAACAGGGTCTCTCTAGACGTTGAATTTTAATTAACCAGAAGATCCGAGTCATTCTGCCGGCTAGGAGCCCGGTACATTCCACAGACTCTGCGTCCGGTTTATTCTACACAAAACTTCATAATAATGATAGCAAGTTTGCTGTAATGTTTCATAACATCGAACAAGAAGATGATTTTCGTGGCTAATCTTTCTTTACTCTTTCAACGAATGCTTTTCAAGAAACAAATATGCGTGGAATCTCCTAACACAAACTTTCCCTTCTTCTGACGAATTCTATAACGATAATTCCTCATAAGATAACTAATTTCTATGTATTTTTTCTCATCAAATTTTCTATGACTTTTTAATATTGTAATTTTAAAGAAATCACAAACCCGATAGTTGATAAAGTTTTATAAATGGATATATATATCGCTGATAAAGAATTCAGACGAAGATTAGAATGAAAAAATTAGATCAATCATAACCTTGTTTGCAATTTTTAATCGTCAAATATGATACCGATGAAATTTTCTGTTTCGCATAATATGCTTAAAATTTCAAAGTCATTCATTATCTATGGAGAAACGCTGTTTTTAACACACTGATGCTGAAAGAAAGTAAATAAGTTTGAATTTTCTAGAAGCATCTTTATGGGCAACAGAATTGTCTACAAGGTATATCGAGCGATCAGATCTTAATGCAGCCGAAAAAACTTTCTTTGCGCTTGCATTTCTGCCACTTTAACTAAAAGATCGAATTTAAGTGTTCCTTTTCCATGTAATCACTCGATTTTGATTCCGCCTCGTGACCTCAGAGTCTCGAATTTTCTCCTTTTGTCTCGCGCCACGTGATAGGTAATGGCGACCGCCTGGGCTCTCCATAGAACAATGTTATAATCACAAAAAGCCAACATAACACTCGCTAGTCGACAAGCTGCCGCATTTACACTCCTAATGTTCTATGGGCTTCACTTAACGGTAGCGATGAACGGAGCGTGTTTGAACACATCTGTTTATGCAGGTAGAGTTTGAAAAAGATGGTTATCTACAGAAACGTTATACTGACACGAACCGAAACATAGCTCAATGTTTTGGAAAACATATCGAGTCGATTAGATACAGAGATACATTATCTAACTTTTTGAAATTTGTTATTAGACAGTTTTACGGCATATGATTGGCGTTCGCCATTTTTAGACTGTATTTTCTGAAGCAAAGAATTTGTGTCAAGTGACATAAGAGCCAAACAGAAAGTTTTCTAACTAAAAAAATCAGTACCCAAAACACCCTTTGCGTCCCTATTTTCCGGTAAATTTTACTTTTTTCTACTACACAATTAAATATTCATCAGTAAGGTTAACCATAATTCTAGACAGGTAAAGAAAGCTATATAATGTTTTTGTTCTTCTTTTTTAGAAGTTGATGACGATTTAACATCGATTGCCGAGCAAGAGCAAGAATTGTCGCAAGAGCGCAACACGTCCAAACGGCGCTACAGCCGATTGTCGGATGGCTACGAACGACTGAAAACTGTGCTTCCCTCCGTCAAAGATAAACGACGTGTTTCGAAGGTAATATTGGAAATCAATGTTTAACAACATCAAAAGAGATTTTCATGTCTTTTGGGGGTGGGGTGGGGGGGGGGGCTCTTGTTACGCTTTCATGAGGTGTTACAAAGTATCATGATTGAACATTTATTCGAGGTTTGCAGGGTTTGTGAGAAGCTTGTGGTATCAGATTGCAAACCAGGCACCTTCTTTGCCCATCAACCTTAACTAAAATGAGGCTGTTTCAGTATACTTATCATGAAATCAACTGTACAAAGAATTTTTTTAAGAGTTGGTTAATGAAGCGAAGAGCGACTTTTAAAATATCAAATTGTTTTGATCTGTGGAAAGATGGAAAATACTCATATAGGTCTCCAAATTCTTAATTCTTGTATGTTTTTCTACGTAGTTACGCTAACGACGGTGCAACTGATTAAATCGTTCCAATCGATCACTGTGTACAATGTGTATTATGAGCCAGATCGATTATGCATCAAAATACAATTGAAACGAAATGGTATATTGAAGCTGAAAACATAATATTTTCGACTACAAAACTGGCATGCTAAAAAAACTAAAAGCTTTATGTTTTCTCTTGCACGCGACAGATGAATTTACCGCGCGGCTAAATCACAGCGCGGCCAATCAAGCGTCTATGCGGGCGTATATATTGTCAAAATTTTCTAGGGCATGTTAAACTTTTCAGCTCTAGCTTTCAACTTTAACTTTGTTTAGTCGTGTTTTGGTCATGCATACATCAACTGACTTGCATTTTTCCGTATTTATAAAAATCACCCTTTACTACTAAGCCAGGAGTGAAAATCCTTTAGCAACATAAGAGGGGGCGATAACTGTAAAATTGATATTATGTGGAAACGTTCCTTGGATGTTTCAGCCATAACACCTGATTTGCCGCTAATCGCCTCGTGCGTTACAGCTTGGCTACAGGATCTTTAGGGAAAAGTTAAAAGCTTTCTGTAATTATTTCTGCCGTTTGTCGCTCTTGTAAGCCGAAAGACGCTCCATTTCTAGCCGTCTTACCTTTATTTTACTTGCTATCTAGTTTATCTTAAGTACATTATGAGGAATTAGTTTATATTCACACGAGTAAGACGCATGTGCATTTTGTATCGAAGTAGATTTTTGAGAAAAGACGTAAAAATGCTTTATCCAGAAAAACTAAGCTTTTACTAATCTTTCAAAAAACCAACATTTGTTTACCACGTTCCATGGGCGATATCCTACAACAAGAAAAGGACTTTTGACGTATAACCCCAACCTCGGTCGCGTGAATTGACTAAAGACTAGATGTCAACATGCTTGATACTAGCAAATAAGTATAAAGCCTAATTTGATCAAAATACGTTCAACAAATACATCTGGACATATGAGAAAACAACCTGTTAAGGTAGACAAATTATCTCAAGTGTGCTTTATCCTTGTAAATATCATCTATCGATGATGCGTCCCAAATCTTAGTATGGGCCTATTTTCAATCGAAATTGAAATAAATTCTATATCTCAGTGGATCCAACGCGCCCAAATAGTGTTTTGCTATAAATTTATTGAAAGCAATACAATAAGCACCGTTTCCGATTTTTCTGCTGGATGTCTTCAAATCTTAAAAGAACATTCGCTTATTGAGGGCTTCAGTTCGATCGAAATCATCAAGGTCCTAAATAAAACGAGGTTTTGAGAAACGTCAAAAGACCTCTGCTTAATTTATATAATGAGATAGGGTATCAACAGACATAAAGGAATTGTCAAGATTGTTCCCACAGTGCTTTTAAATATGTACCGATATTCTTGCAGTTTTCCAGAACTTTCACACAACGATTACTACTTTCAATGCATAGGAAAACACATCTAAGTTTGCTCCTGGATTGAGCCTGGCTTACAACGAAAGATAAAACGACGTCCGATTTTATTCTTATTGAAGTTCATCTTTTTTTTGCAAACGTTTAACAAGCCAGGGGCATTTCTCTAACCTCGTTTGCAAAGCAGTTCAAGAAACACCTGGATTCAGCTTGATGACGTCAAAGACGAAGAACTGTTGACAAACTCATGGCTAGCAACGGTTTTGATTTAAACAGGACCCCCATTTTTTGCAAAGCAAGTATTTCTAAAGCTGCAGTTAAAGGGGAAAAGCCTTCGCTCCTTACTTTTGCTAGCTTTGGCCTTCCCGAATCTAAAATTTGTGGCGTAGGCCCTGTTAAAAACTGATCAATTGTGCAAATTGGCCTTTTTCGTTCATCATGAAGAAGTTACAGAATAAATAGAGAAAATGAAGCTACTTTAAAACTGATTGAGTGTGCATTGTTGATAATGCAATTTTTTTCTAGAGAGATTTTTTTCTTGTGATAAAATGAAAGCAGCTTCAATGACTGTTAAGTCTTATATAACCAAGAGCAGCATTGCTTGAAATCACTTCAATTTATGATAATGATAACATGGAGTATATGCTTTCTTGCTTGCTTCTTGTCTTTACGTTTCTAACATATGTTATTTTTGCTAGCCCAAAAATCAATAAACAGCTTCTTTATGAAAAAATATGTTAATTAGGGATTGCTGCGTAAACAATGATCAAGAATATTTCAAATAATCAACTCCTGTTCCTTGTCATGAGTCTGTACTGCACATTGGCCTGTTTGTTTAAGTCCAATAATTGGTAAAACAACCTGCAGTACGAATCAACACAAGCAGTAAACAATTTGCTTAATGATGATTGATTATCGCAAACATGGCTGCCGGATCCCTTGTACATTTCTTCTGTATACTTGCGTTTATAACATATGTGAGTCCATTATACGATATACAAGCAAGGAAAGTGCCTGTTACAGAGTACGACACTACTTGGCCTAGCCATTGACGAGTCGGGTCCCTTTCTTTGCTGCCTTTACCCTCCCAAGATGACCAGAAATAAAGCGACAAGCGTTGGGCCAAAATGGGTTCAAGAAAACGAACCAAAGCATTGCAGTCAGAACCCCACCAATTAGGCCTCTCGCCTGCTTACGTATATATGTATCTGAAACCCCATCAGATCCAACCTTTAATTAACAAACAAAAACAAGTATAGAAATAAGACATGATATCTTACTGAAATAAAATTCTCTCAGAAGAGACTGAAGTGCATTGCTAGAGAAATATTCCTAACTAGATAAATATAATAATCTATTATCCTATTCTGTTTTTATTATTTTTTTTCAAGCTCCGGGTGTTATTTATTTTGTAACGATCAGTAAACCATGGATATGATATTTCAATATAAATTGTTTTTCTTCTGAATAAGACAGCTTTAAAATAAAAATTATGTATGCAGAGACCTTTCCTGGCAGTTGGTCATGAATCTTTCCCGCAGTAATTGAAAAGAGCAGATGTTTTTGGCGAACCTTTCCTTGACATACACCAGACATGTCACGTGTACAGTGATTCAAAAACAGATGCTACTGTCTACATGCTTGTTTTCTTAAGAATCAGAGAAAAACTCAGATACACAGTTTACATTTCTTGACAAAAACAAACTATCTAGGTACTAACAAAAATGACTAAAGTTTTAGACTTTATTTGCTGATTGGTCTCGTAGATGTTTAATGAACATTTCTGTTTTAATAAACTCTACTCTGTTTAACATACTCCTATTTTATGAGATCACCAATATTGCTTATATTGGAGACTTTTTCGTTGAGTTTAGCTTTCTATAAATTGGCACTTATCCTTTGGCTGTAATGAAAGTAGAAAGAGAAAAGAAATAGAAAGAGATGCTCTTGGTATTTGCAGAAATTAGCTAGCAGTCCTATTAATCATAACAAACGTATAAGGGACACTTTTTGTTGATCTTATTTTATTCCACTGTACTTTGCCTATGCATTCAACAAAGCATTGATCGGAAAAACTGATTTGAATACTCCATCTTATATAAAAATTGCCACGGTGGATGGTAATTAAAGGAAACGAGCTATTCGAAATGCATTGATAAGTGTTCGCGTTTAAAAAAGATTTTACTTTAAAGCTCTGCAAACCTACAAGAGAGGCTAGGCTCACAATCCTATCAACGATATTCTTTTCACAATGTCATTCTTCGAGCCAGGGTTCTAATGAAATGACACAGTAATATTAAAACTTTGGCATTTGAAAAGAGCATGATCATATTCGATCCGTGAAAACATCAGGAACACGCCAAATTTGTAATGATTACAACATGAAATGAAATGAAAGAACTGAGGTCAATGTAGACTTTGGTGGACAGATGCCGCAATAGCTCACATGATCCCAAAGCTCTCTCGTTATTCTTGGTAAACAGCATCCAAACCAAACCAGCCCTAAAACAATAGGTTTCTAGCATCGTTATACTTAAGCTATGTTATTTTAAAAGTTTTTGAATTCAAATAACGGTGCGAATAAATACAGCGCTGTATCTCCTTAATGTCGATGTCACGTTGTAGCATTCAAAACTTTAAAGTGACTGTTTCTAAGTCCACATTTAAAAGGCTTATTTCAAGAAGCTTTTAACTTTCTTCGATATCAAGCTGATATTCAAAGGCTGTTGATGCATGCACTTGTAGGTATCTTCAAAGATTGCTTAGGAATCGAATTGCCTATCGGAGCTGACAAACCAGCTAAACTGTTATATTCACACAATCATTGTACCCTGTAGTCATATCAATGTAAACATAAAAATATTATTGATAAACGAAAGTACAGATTTGTCCTTTCAATTTTTCATACTAGGTTGAGTATAGAAATCCAAGACTTTATTTTGGTCCACATTCGTTATATTTATCATTTCTCAGGGTATGGCTTACTAACTGCCAATTTAATTAATGTTTTGCGATTGGTTTTCGTAAATCTTGTAATGAAACGATTTCTAAAGAGTAAATTGTGTTTTCTTTTCAAAATAAAGGCGTAAATTGTGTTCAAAGGCGCTGTGTTTTCATTCCTTGATTGATTATAGAAGCAAGATAAGGCCGCGCATAGGAGCAGATGTTTCGTCGTTTTATCTCCGACACGCTGCCTTGATCATGTACCCGCTATTAAACTGTCTTTCCCCGTTCGCATTTTGAATCGCTGCCCTGTCGCTTTCTGGGTCTTAAGACTATCCTGATTCAAAACTCGATAACATGTCTTCTAATGCTATGTAGCGAAAGCAGAATTTTGCAGCATTGCATATTTCAGTTCACTTATAAATATAATTTTACATAACTTTAAACTAATGTCGTGGATAAATGTTAGTACATCCATACCTTAGGTACTTCGTAAATTGAATAAGCAAATAGAACATTCTATTAGTCACTGGATATATTGTCTTAAGGAACCCTGAGCAATGCTTCTTTCTTGCGTAAGAGCTCTTAAATATGTTGTAAAATGTATGACCTGTCTGTTTTTTAACGATTTTCAATAGCAAAGAAGCACGTTTTAAAAGCGTAGGCGTCTGAATGGTTTTTTCAGTATGCAAAAGCAACAGACTTTAGGTCCTAATTGTTGCCAACATCTTTCTTTTAATTTCGACAGGAGAAGACAGGAGTATCTGTTCTTAGCTTTTTCTTCGCGAAGAGTGTACGTCACGTAACACAAGAACACCTGAGCAATGCATTATCCGCTCATTATTGCACGATGTTGGTCTGCACGAGCGGCACGCAATCTCGTTGCCTGCTTGTTTTCTTCACAAATTGTTAATTCAGGTGCTCTGTGTATACTGTATTGCCATGGGTTGAATTTCCACTGAGCTTGGGTAGAAATATGTTGTTTCAGTTTGGCCTAGCTTTGCTTCATCCAGTTAAGCAGAGTAAACAGAGTCGATTTCTGTTTTGAATCTTAACTGTCACATTCATCTTAAAAAATATTGACTAGATAATAAAAGCCCGAGAGGCAGCTTATTTTGGAAAACTGCTCGTGGCTAAAGTTAGGTAATAAATTGCATTTCCTGAGCGTATTTACCAAACATGGAATGAACAATTTCTATATTTCTGCATATGTACCGACTATCGAAACGAAAAGTGTATGTCAATTTGGTTTAGGCTAAGGAAATGAAGCTTCATTCAATCGTGGTGAAGATATTCCGTTTGTCTTGGCGAATTGAGATGGAATTAGACATTCTATAACAAAATGATTACTCCAGATTTATCTTGCAAACTTTGATAATGTTTTCCGCTCGTAGTTTACATTAGTAAGGTAGGTTTTTAGTGTCATTTCGGCCAATTTCTATAAACTGCTCCCTAAGAGTTGCAGCATTATTATTCGTTTCCATTGAAAATACATCCAAAAATTTGATGTTTTTTCAAGAATAATTTGAAAAAAGCACGATGATACAAGAAACTGCTCTATTCCATATTGGTTATCCTATTGAACGCCGGTTGTTTTACCCAATAATGGTTTTAGTATAATGATTTCCCATATAGTAACAAATGCAATTTGATTCTCAAAGCAAAATTGGTTTATTGCAGGCAAGAATCTTAGATGAAGCGATCAACTATATACAAAGGCTGGAAAGCATCACAAATGTTTTGAAGAGAGAACATGGTAAGTGTTTTACCAATCTTGGATTTGTTCATCATATAAACGACATAATTACTCCACAATAAAGGCCAAATATCGAAAAAGTTTCATTTACGATTTAGTAGTCAAAGCATCATGTGTAACGCTATAAGGTTTATGGAATAAGGAGTTAACGAAATAACACAAACACATTTGTTCATTGTGTTGCGCTGATTTTTTGGAACGATTTAGAGCTAGATTTTTTTTCCGATTATAAAATACGAATGCAATTTTATTAAATACCTCTTTATTGAAAAAAGTGAAAGCAAGAAATTTAAGCCTGACGGAAAAGTTTCTTGAAATATTTAAGAAAGAAGAAAATTTATCGATGTGCCCTACATTCAGTATAAGATTTCCTTTTTGCTTGAAAATTTTTTGTATTTTTTTCGAAATTAATTTTTTTGGTTGATTGTTTCCCTCATTGATAGAAAAGCCCATTTAGCTGAAAAAAGTTAACCGATTATTTTTAACAGATATCACTCAAAGCATTTCATAAAACATTCTGCTTTTACGTAAGAAAAATTTTGTGAGGTATATTCACTATGACGGAACCTCGACGAAATGGCATAAACTTACCGAAATGGCAATATCCCACCGAAATAGTATTATTTCGCCGAAATGATTTTATCCCACAATAAAATGAAAAATATGGTTAAGCAACTCGGTACCATGAGTGTATTTGCTATTCTTTTGACAGCTGTAACTTTCTGGTGGTAACTAAAGATAGAAGACACTTCTGTCTGTTTCTGCTAATGAATGCTAAATGCCGCATTTGCTTTTAGCAGAATCAGACCTTTCATTCTTTCATACTATTCAAAAAGCATAAACATGATTTCATCATACTTTAATGGCCAACATGTATAACATAGACATTGGGGTATTATGTAATTTTTGACCTACTGTGCAGAAGGGGAGCACTAGATTCCCTTGAAGACTGCTATTGGGAAGCCACGAGTAGTTCAAGGACCACTAAGATAGCATAGGACATTTGCCCTCTCATCTGCAAGGGATATCTGCATCAGCCAACCTTTCTTTGCCACAACCTTTGCCATTTCTACTTTATCCGAACAACATCTCAACTCTGCTTCATTCAACGTCAATTACATAGAATTCCGAATTTTGCGATTTCATGTTACAAAATACTCTACTCCTATTCTACAATTTTCTATTTTGAGTGTACCTAGGAATATTTTGAGCTGTTTTATGCATTGATTGAATTTTATCAGTGCTTTGGCAAACTAAATCTGATGTATTAGTGTTGTATTTGTTTCTAACAAGAACGAATTTATGCAAGTAGCAAAAATATCAGTCTTGTTGCTATAAAAACTTTACAAATTCGATTAGTTGAATATTTTAGAATCCTTTTGATTTTTTTCGCTTAGAGGCTCCTCTTTATTTTGATTTGATTTGATTGCTCAAAAAAATGAAGATATTGTCATCCAAACCAAACACGTTTAAACAATTGTATAATTTCGTTCTACTTATTCACAATGGGCACCTATTAGTCAGTGAACAATCCCTTTCAAAGGAAACAACCACTTACGTTTTAGATTACGTGTTTAGGACTTTAGGTTTTCAGACAAAAAATCTTCTAACGACAACTCTCTTTCTAATTGCAATTAAAGGGAAAAAATATTGCAAATAACTTAATCGTGTCGATGGAGTTATAGATAAAAAACAGACTGCGGTTTGCAATCTTTTGTTTCGAAACCTGAGGAGAGAACATTGTTTCTACTTTCCAATGAATTGTGGTTGATAACGTTTCAAGATGTGGAAACATTTTTATTCGTTAAAGTTTCACTTCTTTGGAATATGATTTATTCTTTTCACATTTGCAAGAACAATGACAAGGAAAGATTTTTAATCGCTTGCAGCTGGATAGAGCAGAGTATTTTTGTTATGAAAAGACTGTGAACTGGATTATTGCGAATCACTAAAAGTGATTTTTCAAGTTTAGCCTTACCAAAGACTGTGTTTTGCCTCGCTAACTTGAGCGAATCTAATTTGTCCGCGATCTCCCGTTTGTAGACAAAACAAAAGCATTTTAATGACCAAAGCTAATGGGCGTTTGTTAGACGCAGATGTCAGGAAAAGGACAAGGAAAAGCATTAGGGAATCTAAGATTCGAAGAGAAAAGTTACTTTTAGGTTACTTTCAGGGTCGAAACGATTTAGCTTAAAATGAGAATACTAAGCATTTACGGATTTAGGCCAATGGTTGAAACTTAACACGAGACTCGTCTGAAGTGTTTTTATTATTAGTCTAAGCCTAGAAAGCACAAAATATGATAATTAAAAAACGATGAAAAGGTCACTGTGAATTTAAACATTAGATGCTTTGTTGTCAGTTTTATTCTCCCTTATGCTCATACAGTAAAACTTTATTCGTTTAATGATGCTACATGCCTAACAACAATTATAGCGTCTGCCATTTTACTTATCTATTTACTTATGTAATGGACCCGAAATGCCAATAATGCTTTAAAAAATCCTACCTTCAGAGAAAAGACTGCAAATGTTAAACGGTGGAACAAACGGATTCTTTCCTGACTACAGCATGCAGCCTTACATGAGGTAAGAGACAAATATAATTTTTGCGGTTATATTGCGATTATACTGCGATTATGTTGCGATTATTTCAATCAGTGTTACTGCAGCTCGCTCTAAAGTTAGCTAATCCCTATCGATCATCCTTGTCATAGCGCTTTCTTACAAATTAAGTCTTTTAATCTGTTTTGATGTTACTTTAAATATGCTAAAACTTAAAATACTGTCAAGAGGCTCTGAACAAGACAGACTAACAAGAGGAAGACATGAAGTTTTCTCCTTGTGTAGCATTTCAACGATTGTATTGATCTTATACACCGAATAATTTATGGCCCGATTCGGGTCATAGTCAGCCAATTGTTTAGTCAAAAACGTTCATTCATTCAAGGAGCTGACAATACTGCAGGCAAATGGCGATCATTTTGAATTAGAAATCTTGATGAAATCGTCAGCTGGGTGATTCAATATTTCGAATTCGTTGACTGAAATTCTATATCAATTTTATCGGAAGCTTGAAATTTTTTTATGGACCAAAAGATTTATTGGATACTTTCAGAGTCTGTATAACATTTTAGAGAAAAGTTTCACAGAAAACCTAACAAGTGATATCTGCATCACTTAATTTATAAAGAACATCGAAACAAAGGCTAAAAAATATCGATTAGAAGCTTTAAATCAGAAACGGAAATTAGGCGTATGCCTTTTCATCATTTTATTTGCCTTTTTGTCTTGAAAAAGATTCTCGATGTTAAGAAACTCCTTGAGGAGACCTATCCTGAGAATGTAATGAATCGAAATATCTTTTTAAAAGGAAAATAGCCCTATGTTGATAGCTTGTATACGAAATATCTTTTGGTTTGTATGTACTTTGCGGCCAACTTTGAACAAAGCGTGTAATCGCGAACGAACCCCGAGACATACTGGTTTAATGGCTTAATGCTTATTTGCTTTCGCGTTCGCGTTTTTATTGGACAGATTTCACTCACCGGAGGTCTGGCGAAGCCTTGGCAAATATGTACGCACAGCTTGTTCGCTTATTAGTGGCTAAGTGATTATGCTGTTGCTTTGTTTTGTCACTGGTCTAGCCTTTGTCTACGCACAATGTGCGCAGATAATGCTTCACCTGCGGCTCCCTGCACCTGCTCATCGCTTGCAAATAAGCACAGAGATTCTCTAATGTTATTCTTTCTCGCAAAAAAAGTTCACGTGACTGTGCACTGCACTGCGTGGCTGAAACTTTCCACTGTCGGTTAAAAACGATTTTTTCAAGCATTCTGCGACATTCTTCAGTAACAGTCGCCATCCAACAAATGCTTACATGGTTGTCGTAAAAAGCTGCCTCATTTAAATGGCACTTTTGCTTTTTCTACATCTCAGGCCAGATCTAGACGCGTTTGATTTATATTTAGAGCATTTTTATCTAAAGAGTTACAAGTTATTGAACCTGCATTAACTCTGCTATATCTTTCAATACCATTTACAAATTCTGGTTTCCCAAATGCATTTCCTATGCACCAAGACGCATTGTCTATTTGTTATTAACGTGTTCAATTAAGATATTTAAAGCGATTTTCTGAAGCAGTACGTTGATATTCTTTGATCCCAAACACGAACTGCAGCTGTGTGAAGCTCTTTTGGCTAACATTTCGTTTGCTCTGTGTTAGAAACCGATCGCTTAATCAATGAAAAGCATGTTGTGACATTGAATTCTGTCTAAGATGTTAATTGTAATAGTATACCATGATTTAAAATATAGCAAAACTTATGGATACAGTAACAGTCACATTAATAGCAGAGTTGCAAACCCTGAAATGTTATTTTCCCTTCCTACGTATGTTTCTTCTCAACTAGCTACTACTGCAAGCATTGCGCAATATTGCACTTTAAAGCGATGTATTTTCGATAGCAGAATTCGGAAAAAATTAGCAAACTGTCAGAAATGAGTAGCAAGACAGAAAGCAGAAAGTTCTATGAGAGACAGGCGTGTAAGAAAGACAAAAGCCTGTAAGAAAGACAGAGACATATAGATAGACAGAAACGTGTACTTCTTTATAACTATTTTGTTTAGAATACTCCCGTAGAAGCTTCCATGGTATTTTTTATATGGATGATTTCACTGTTTTTTTCATTGATTTGGTCTTTTCATCAAACTACATCATTTTTATCAAAACACGAAGCTTTGCTTGCTCGTTCTAAGTATTGAGGGACTTTCGATAAGAAAACAACAAAAACGTTTTTCTTCAGATCTAAATTTAGAATACAGAGTCTCTGGCTGAGATTTAAATTATCAACTTTAAGGAACACTCTCTTAGAAATGGATGGTTCCCTATGAGTTGGCTTAGCTGGCCAGTTTAAAACTGAGATCCGGCTTTAGAGTGTGAAATCCTTACGGCAAAGGACTAGAGATGATCAAAACGTGTTTAGATCTTTTTAACTATCTACACCTCTGCAGATATCCCCAGTTGAGTTACTAAGTCGCCCCTTTCCTGAACAATTTTTCATTGTAACTTACATAACGTTATGCAAGCGGAAACAAAAACCAACTCAACAGCTACATTTTTGTAAAATTTCTATTCATCACTTATTTTACAGCTTCTAAAGACTATACATCCTTCTCTTCTTTCCTGTTGCTTTTCCCCACACATCATCTTATTTAACAGCTTGTGAATGATTTAGTCTCAGCTGTAGGAAGATGTTTCATATATAGATCCTGGTCCAGTAACTCTTCTTCTGATAATGTCTTTGTCCAATTGCTTTTCATGCTTGCAGTGACATCCTTCGACATTGTCGCAAAGGAGCTTATTAAATGAAGAATTTATTAACTAAGTAAACCAAAAGTTTTAAATTTGCCAAGATATAAAAAGAAAAGTTCATAACCGCATGCACTAATGCAAGCTGTTGAGGAGAATTTTATGGAACATGAGCTGAACAATTGTTTTTTGCTGAAACAAGGTGTTAGCTGCATTAAAAACTTTATCAAAGAGCGCTAACATGTACGCTTAATTACAAGCTAGGCCAACTAAAGAGTGAAGAGGCCTTTTTGATTAAATTGATTCTTCTTGTTTTGCCGCAATCAATTTTCCGTATAAATCATAATGCATTTTTGCAGAACAAGAATATTGCCATGCCTGAAGTTTGATTTTGATATTTTACTGATTTGGAACTGAAGTTGACTCTTAAAAATATCAATGTTTAAATGCTCAATCTGATTTGCATAAAGTGTGCTAGCTATGCATCAAAACCAACAAAGTTTTATGGTAGCTCTTGCACATGCACCTGTATACGTGCAATTTAATTTAAGTACAATACTGTTTACTTTCCTTCTGTTGACAAACAGCTGCTGCTTCCTTCGGATCTAAAGGATGCGCTTGTGTTGATGAAAAGATTTAAAGCAGATCCCTGAATTGAATTAGCTCGAAAAATGAATACCAAAACAGCTTTACTTGCCACCTATCTTCATTCACTATATTCCACAATCTAAGCAAGATGCTAGGATTCAGAATCTGCAAACTGGGAGCCGCTTTGCCTTGTCAAATTCTGGTGCAATTGAACACTTTTTTATTGAGAATGGCGATTTTATGATAGAGAAAGAAAGTAAATCGAAACAAATCAGGCCTTACAAACATCAAAAATTTGTTTTTAATGATTTTCATCAAAATCTTAGGCTGAAACCAAAGAGAAAAGCTACTTCTATAAGAAACCTGGTTTTTATTAGTAAAAAATGAGTTTGGAAACATTTTAATCTCATTTTGCACTAGATACTCTATAGTTTATCGTTTATAGATGATAATTAATTGCCTAATATAACAAGATTGAACAGCGGATATCAATCAATTTTCTTTTAACTTCGAATCTAATTGATATTGAAAGCTCATTTCTAAGTTAATCAAAAATCTATTGATTGAAAACTTTTCCCCTTAAGTTATATTTAACAAACAGACTTCAGAGTTCTTCAGCGAAAATTTTGGCAACACATCAGCGAGTGGACTTAAGTAAAATCATTTTTTTTTAAATTAAGATTTCTGTCTAAGCCATGCTTTAACCGTTTGAATTAAAAAAAACACTTTTTAAGAAATATTATACTACAGACCAAACTTTGACGTAAATTATGTTTAAGTTTTACTTATCGGACATTTGAACTAGAAGCGACAGGCACTTTGTCACATTAGCGGTATTTGCAAGCTCTAAATGCAAAATATGAAATCAAATGAGAATGTCTGCCTAATTAGAAGCTGCAAATGACTTTCTTTGAGAGTGGACTTAATGCTTTTTTGCAGATATTCTTTGATTGCATACATAGCTCAGAGCAGATATTTCTAAACCCATCCAATAAGGCTCATTAATTTTCAAGGGTAACATGTCAATTCATCCCCTAAAAGCCAAATATTTCTCCTCATTCTCAAAGTCTCATTGCTCTTTGGTAAATTTCTTTGCTTAATTTTATATTCTTTGCTGCAACAGCAAACAGGTTTTCTGTTTGATCCACTTTCCTTTACACCTACTATGAGGTGATGGAATTCAATACTGATAGCGCGCCAAAAAGCTGGTAGAAAAGGCATTTCTAAAAGCAAAAACAACAGAGACGAAATATTACTTATAGAAAGGCCCTTTATAGGGGTTGTCAAAAACTCGGCAAAATAAAAAATGTCAACCTTTGGGATCTTAATTTAGTTTCATTTGATTATGATTAAATTAAATATATGATTAATTCATCATATCTCCGCAGGCTCCCTATGCGTAATTCGTTACACGACAAAGAATTTTTTAATTCCTTCTTCTTTCAAAACCTCTTTTTCTCACAAAAGAGCTATTAAAAATGTAATAAAAAATGTAATAAGTCATTTTTGTGTTGCTAGAACCTGATACCATGTAAAGTTTTAATTTTGGCTAACTCCACATAAAATTGTCATTGAAGTAACTGCTCTTTCACTCTGCAAGGAAGAGAACGGATATCACGGCCAGTGACCCAGACGGAATAGCAGAAAGGACCCATCTGTTATCTCGTAAAGCCATGATTATCTCGGTTT